GAGGGGAAGGGTAGGTTCTAATTGATGCTCAACTGGAAACACAACCATACCCACTATTCATACATCTGCAACATGGTCTTCTTTTATTCTTGATTAGTTGGTGGACAGACTGCTAACACCTCACAGACAGATTAGAGTAGGATTGTTGTATATTACCATAGCCAGTTCTATCTAATGCTCCTGCAAGTGAACAAATCAAGATACATCAAGACTATGTTGACAGTCTGTTGTGAATGTTGTAGGCTGCCACTTGATCGGTAAAGTAGGGGACCTGCCGATCACAACTACTTTTAGAAAATTAGCTGTCGGTCAGACACATGCTGTGGTAGGACTCCACTAGGGGGTTCTAGTGCAGATAAATGCCTAATTGATGAACGGGTCAGACATCGATGAGGGAACAGTTGACGATGCAAGACTGACACGTTCGAGATCACGTAGGATCCCGCACGTGTTTCAGGACCTACAACCGGGAGACGAAGGACGACTTCGTGCCGAACGCAGAGCCCGTGCACTAGCAGCAGCTAGGGAAACAGCGAACGCCGCTAGGGAACAGGCTGCAGCAGCAGCCAGGGCAGCAGCCATGGCTTCCACAGCAGCATCCTCTGCTGCGTCCTCGTCTGGGACCCAGTTGGGAATGCCCACAGGGTCCACGGGTACTTCTAGTTCAGTAGGTTCTCGACAGTCTACAAGTCAAATGGCGGGCTCGCAGTTCAGCCCGTTGACCCCACGCGAAAGGGAGCTTCGAGAGCTCCAACAGGTCGAAAGGATCCGTGAACGATTAGAGAGGGAACTGAAGCAAGCAACCGATAGAGAAAGAGAAATCAAACATAGAACAGCCAAGCTTGATACATTAGAGGCAGACAAAGGTGCATTAGAGGGGTTGGATGAGTCAGCCATGTCTAACGACATGAAAGTGTTGAAGAATAGCATGCTGTCACAGCATGCGCATGTGGACAGCAGACTAGACTTCATGCAGAACTCTCTTGACAAGATCTTGGACCTTTTGCAAAGGCCAGGATTTAGGCCGGCAGCACAGTCGCCGTTGCCATTAACGGCGATGTCAAGCCCCTTCCCTGTACAAGCTGGCACACAACCAAGTGGTCGTCTGCAGCAACCGCACAGACTGTTGCTTCTTCTTCTTCGGGTCCAGCGGTGGTTGCTACACCACCACAACAACCTGTTCCTCAACAAGGACAGCTGCAAGGTCTATGGTACCCTAAGACCCCTATGAAACCGCCGCTTGCCTTTTCAGGCGAGAAGAAGGATGAGGAACTCAACACTTGGTTGAGAACGGTTCCGGTATGGGTAAAGGTGAAGAGGACTTTGCAGGAGGAAGAGGTGATTACTGCCGCATCTTACCTCGAGGGTAAGGCAGCCAAATGGCTAGATGGTTTAGTTGCAAAGGCCGGGTACGGACGACGCATGGCGGACTGGGCTAGGACAATTACGTTAGACCAGTTCATGGAAATGGTAGAAGCTCGATGGCACAATCCACAGCAGGCGCAAATGGCCACTGATGCGATGCATARACTAGACCAACGAAAGTTCAAGTCARTCAGAGAGCTTACGACTACCRTKGAGAGCCTAATCGTCGTYCCCGRCATCAACTAYGATAACCAGTTCCTGTTGACCACATTTGTGAGATGTCTTCCAGAGAACCTCAGGAATTTGCTGGCCAGCGAGGCTYGCCTCGAGTATCACTCATTTGAGACATTGTCTAGAAAARCCTTAGACTTAGAGGCCACTCTAGGAAATGCTCAACCTACCCAGAATGACGCGAGGAAGAAGAAGAGTCCACAGGAATGGAAGAAGAAGGGGGCTAAACTGATGATGGTTGAGTCCGATGGGACTCAAACAGAGATCGACGAGCTCACCAACCTGTTGGACGTTTCATAGTTAGACGGCGAGGAGATCGCTGAGGGTAGCACCCTCGCCGCAAGAGTTAAGGCTAAGGCTGGTGGCCGAGTGAAGGGCCATCAAAAGAGTCAAGGGAAGGCCGCCTCCAATCAGACCAAGGTTGCTGATTGGGTCAAGGCAGGTCTTGATCAAGAAGTGTGGCGGGACCGCGGAGTGCGTGGTGCTTGTATTAACTGTGGTGAATACAGACACACCCAGTACAAGTGCCAGAACGCAAAGGTCACGCAGAAGATACCTCCTAAGATGGGGGCATCTCCTTCCCAGGCTTCTAGCTCGGGAAACACGTGAGGCCGGTGGAAGTCTTAGCTGCTTCTACTCATGGTGAAGTGGGCCCGATACCCTCCCCACTTCATGAGATGGCCATAGCTAATGACTCTTTAGTCACCCCGCAGACTCATCCAGACCAATCTATGCTCTGTACGTTGGATGTGTCTGAAGCCTTAGAAGATCTGGAAAGCGAGTGGTCAAACAAGGACCCTCGTGAATCTTGGGTGGCACTAAGGAAGGGTCCTAGGGGGGAATATTTCGTGGTGGAAGTTGATGTAGGAGGCCGCAAATGTGGTGCCTTCATAGACATTGGCTCCACGCGGAATTACATAAGTCGCGACTGTTTGGAANTAGGAGGCCGCAAATGTGGTGCCTTCATAGACATTGGCTCCACGCGGAATTACATAAGTCGCGACTGTTTGGAAAGGCTGCACCTACAGGACCGGGTACAACACCTTAGTAGACCCGTAGCATCTACTTTGGCCAATAAGGAGCGCATGATTGTCACAGACTATATCAAGGACGTAGTCTGTACCTTCTCCTATGGAGGAGGGGAACTTAATCATAAGATTTTGTTCCTTGTTACCATTTGACATGTTCTTAGGCATGTACTACCTTGAGGTGCTAAAACATAAGTTGCCCGATGGCAGAACAGTCGGATTGACTAAGTTCAAAGCCAATAGCATAATAGATACCTATGGCTGCTTGTGTGCATCAGCATTCTATAACTATTACAAACAGAACCAAGAGGAGGGTATGTACCCAGTGTATGTCTCTGAGAAAGGGGCGACCGTTAAAACTCCCCCAGAGATAGAACACGTCGTTGCTAAGTTCCCTGATTTGTTCGAGGAGCCTACACGAGTCGTAGAAAGGGAGGTTGTCCACGCCATAGAAATCATTCCAGGGAGTAAAACCCCAAAGGGAAGGATCTATAGGATGGCTCCGGCCGAGTACTTCCCCCTACGGATTGCCAGTACTATTTGTACCAAAGAAGGGGGGTACATTGAGGATGTGCATTGACTGTAGAGGCCTCAATGCCATCACTGTGAAGAACGCAGAGCCTCTACCTCGCATAGACGACCTATTGGATAGGGTGCAGGGATGCAAGTACTATAGCAGGATACATTTAAAATCCGGCTACCATCAGATCGCAATAAGACCTGAGGATCAACACAAGACTGCATTTCAGACCATATATGGTCTTTATGAGTTTGTTGTGATGCCCTTTGGCCTTTGTGACGCGCCGGGTACATTCGAACACGCTATGAATAGGATCTTCCATGACCACTTAGATAAGTTTGTCATTGTTTATCTCGACGATATTCTGATCTTTAGTAAGTCTGTCGAAGAGCATGCCCAGCACGTTGAGACTGTACTCTCACTCTTGCGACAACACAAGTATAAGGTTAACTTAGAGAAGTGTGAGTTCGGACGTACTAAGATCTTATACTTGGGTCATGAAGTATCCGCGGAAGGGATTAGGCCGGAAGATGCGAAGGTGGCTAGTATAAGGGACTGGCCACGACCTCAGACTGTTACTGAGGTCAGATCTTTCTTAGGAATGTGCGGCTACTATAGGAACTTCGTAAAGAAGTATTCTACAGTCGCCTCTCCTTTGACAGATCTAACTCGACTTGACACGCCGTGGGACTGGAGTGATGAGTGCGAGGCTGCTTTCAAACGATTGAAGCATGCACTCATGAATCATAAGGTCCTCATGGTTGCCGATCCTCAAAAGCCATTCATAGTAACCACTGACGCAAGCCAATACAACATTGGCGCAGTGCTGGCTCAGCAGGATGGGAAGAAGTTGAGACCGATTGAGTACATGAGCAAGAAAATGCCATCGAAGAAATTGGCAAAGTCCACCTACGAAAGGGAACCCTATGCTCTCTACAAGGCACTTGTCCATTGGAGACATTTTCTGTTGGGACGGTTCTTCTACTTGAGAATTGACCATCAGACACTCAAATGTATCAAGACTCAACCGGCTCTTTCTGATGCACTCAAGCGCTGGATTGAGGTCATAGATCAGTATGACTTCAAGCTTGAGTATCTGAAGGGAGAGTACAACAAGGTTGCAGATGCGCTATCTCGTAGAGCAGACTACCTAGGGGCGCTAGTTTCTGAGTTTGGTGTATGTCAGGAAGTAACTCAATCGCTGGTGGGAGCTTATCAGGAAGACCCTGTCACGATGGACATCATTTGCAAACTTCAGGCAAAAGACAAGACCACAGAGAATGAGTTTGTGATGGTGGATGGGTTACTCTTTCTTGATAAGGCCGGGTGTAAAAGGTTAGTAGTTGCATCAAGTGAGAGTTTGCGTAGTTTATTTCTAGGAGAATGTCACAATGCAACCGGACATTTTGGCTACAAAAAGACGAGTGTCAATCTAGTACAACGATTTTGGTGGCCTGGAATGCTAGATGACGCAAAGAAGTATGTAGAGACCTGTCAGGTCTGTCAGCGGGACAAGCCGCGAACTCAAGCACCACTTGGGTTGTTGAAGCCCTCACCTATCCCCGCTGGTCCAGGACATAGTGTTTCCATGGATTTCATGGACACCCTGGTGACCAGTAAGAGTGGCAAGAGGCACATCTTCGTCATCATCGATCGATTCACCAAGTACACTAGACTAGTTGCCATGCCAGAGACCGCAAGGATTGACCACGTCCTCAAGTTGTTTATGGACAACTGGGTGGGTGATTTTGGACTTCCAAAGTCAATCGTTAGTGACAAAGATGTCCGATTCACAAGTGAGCTGTGGAAGAAGACTGCTGAGCAGATGGGCAGTCAACTTCAGATGACTTCAGGGAATCATCCCGAAGCCAACGGACAGGCCGAGCAAATGAACAGAGTTGTACAGCACTTGCTGAGGCATTACATCAAGCCCAGCCAGGATGATTGGGATGAGAAGTTACCTCTCATCGCCAGCCTGTACAACAATGTTGTACACAGCAGTACCGGCTAACCAGCTGCACTTGGGATGGAAGCCTAGATCAGCTCTAGACTTCCTCCTACCTGAAAACCGACCCTCCGCAACTCCAGGCACACTTGAGTATGGTGTGCAGTATGAGAAGTTGCTGCAGCAAGCTGTCGAGCATATCAAGAAAGCTCAACAAGCAATGATTGCTTATGAGAACAAGCATCGACGACAGTCCTCATTTCAGGTAGGGGAACGTGTCTGGGTCAAGGCTAGTGAGCTAGGACAGGAGTTCGGGATCTCTCGTAAACTAATGCCTCAGTATTTTGGTCCCTGGGAAGTCCTGGATGTAGTGGAGGATGAGATGGATGGTTCTACCTATGTTATTTGTATCCCTGGACACCTACGCACTCACCCTGTCTTTCATGCCTCAAAGCTTGCACCTTTCGCTGAGACTGATCAATTCCCTTCAAGGAGATCGATGCTGCCCCCAACCATGGATGGTCAAGTGGACATCGGCGACATTGTGGATCACCGAGATCTGCCTGTTCAGAAGCCATTGGGTAGAGGAAGACCTCCAAAACCCAAGCGGGAGTATCGCGTCAGATTCAGGCATCATACAGATCCAAAGGAAGA